CCTCAGTAGAACCTCTCTGGGCCTCAGTAGAACCTCTCTGTACCTCAGTAGAACCCCTCTGGGCCTCAGTAGAACCTCTCTGGGCCTCAGTAGAACCCCTCTGTACTTCAGTAGAACCTCACGTCTCTAACCCGTGTGTCCCTCAGGTCACGGTCACAGCCACTCTCTGTTTAACGGCAGTGTGAATCATGGACACAGTCACGGAGGACACGACCACCAACACAAACACGCAGACTGGCAGAGTCACGGAGGACACGATGGACACGGACACAGTCACGGAGGACACGATGGACACGGACACAGTCACGGAGGACACGATGGACATGGACACAGTCATGGAAGACACGATGGACACGGACACAGTCATGGAGGACACGGGGGACATGGACACAGCCACGGCGGCCGTGATGAGTCACACTGTCAGGGTGAGAGTACTGAAACATGAAGACTCTACAGTCCTGTCTGTGTCCCAGTGTTCTTTGTCTCCATCATCAGTATGTTCTTTAACATGAGGTCAGGTGTCGTCATGACGATGTCATTGATTAACACTGCTCACTCTTTTCATTGATATATTTAAATGTTGATTTTTATCAGTAGAAAATACTTCATTTGTTTTAATGTGACTGTGATGTGTGAGTCAACTTTATGTTACTATGACGACAATCACATGTTCTCCTCATATCGTACAGCCGCAGCCGCCGTGTGTTATCTTTGATAAAAGACTGTTCTGTGTGTGTGTGTGTGTGTGTTGTTCCAGACGAGCTGCACACTCCGGGGAAAGGATCCAGCAAACAGATCCTGCAGGGTGAGAACTGATCACAACTACACCTCATCAACATCACAACAACACAATAACAACACACCAACACAACATCACAACAACACAACAACAACACAACATCACAACAACACAACAACAACACAACAACACAACATCACAACAACAGACCAAAGGAATAATTGAGCTGAGTGACCTCAGACATGCAGGACGCTCTGTGAGTCGTCTGTTTGCTGATGCAGTGACATCATGTTCTAATGATCAATAATCACAGCTGATCAAAGTTTCATTTCATTTATTGTTTGTTTTTACAGGGACAGCACACAGTTAAAAGTAACTGCACCACAGTTAGCTAACAGCTAATTTACATCTGTTGTCAAGAAAATCATATACTTTCAGGATATTACAGTGATGATTATTACAGTGATGATAATCCTTTGGTTTTTATTTAGTACTTTTAGGATTAGTTTATAAAGTGAGTACATGGGCTTCAGTGCAGTCACATCGGCCTGTGACCAAGTTGTAAGTGCAGCTGCTCTGACCACCGGGAGGCGCTCACACACCATCATGTCCTCTCGTCCTCTCACATCCACCCATCTCCTCCTGTGACTTTCAGAATAAAATGATCAAATTTTTTGTCCAGCAGTTTGTCCTCAGGTCACATGACTCCCAGTGAAACATCTGTCTGTGTGTTGTATGATGTGTGTGTTAAATATGACCTGTGTGTGTGTGTGTGTGTGTTACAGGGGTCCTGCTGCATATCATCGCCGACACTCTGGGCAGCGTGGGCGTGATCATCTCCGCTCTGCTGATGCAGAAATACGACCTGATGATCGCCGACCCCATCTGCTCCATGCTGATCGCCCTCCTCATCGGAGTCAGGTGAGTTCACGCTCTGTGTTTGTGGCTGTTCTCAGGCTCCGCCCACAGAGCCGCCACATCACGGAGAACACAGAAGAATCAGAGACATGAAACATGACGTGGTGACAGACAGCAGAATCACTGTGCGTGCGTGCGTGTTCAGCAGGAGTTGGAACAGGAAGCTGAACAATAGAGTGAGGTCACTTCCTGTTTGCCTCCTGCTCTTCTCACAGAAAGTCTGAAACTGTTGAGGTTAATTTCCTGACGATGGTTTCTCTGAAGAACCTTCAGACAGAACATCGTCACAGTTGTCTCGCTGTGAGGAGATAACCCTCTTTAATGAACACTAAACATCCCAAAGAACTTCTTCCATCACCGTTAGAACCTCGTGAACTCACAGAACTTTCTATCTGATCAGCAGAACATCTGAAAGGACCCATAGAACCTCCTCAGTGACCACTGCTACTGTCTAAAGGCCACAAAGAACATCTCAAAGAACCCATAGTATGTTTTTTATTGACCATTAGAACACGCTAAAGGATGGCCACCATAGCCGCCTAAAGAACCCAAAGAACCTCTTTAATTACCAGGAGAACCTCTCATAATGGCCCCTTCCACAGAACTCCTTCACTGCACATCAGGAACTTCTAAAGAAACCTTTTAAAGGGCCCTGGAACCTCCTTAATGATCACTACATCCTCCACACTGACTGTCAGAACATTTCCAGTCATTATAACCTCCTGAGGAACTCACAGAACCTCCTCAGTGACACCTAGAACATCTTCAATGAGCACTAACTAACTCTCTGTGAAATAATCAGACATTATCAACTGTGAGGATTCTGAAGCTTTAAGATGTCAGAGTGTCCCTGAACACACCGCTGAGTTAACGTTCTCCGTATGACGTGGACAGACTTTTGAGAGAAACGTAAACAGTGACTGGTGGATTATCTCTCAGGTTTCTCTCCGTCTGCCTGGAAGGAAGGCGATCCATCTAGAACCTGATGAGGTATTTTGGAAAATGGTTTCCACTAATGTCAAGAATGTGCAATTAGCAGTTAATGTGCTCCAACATGCCAAACCACCGCTGTGGAACTGGAGCGGTGCTGGAGTCCGGCCTCGGCACGCCGGTCCTCTGGATGTAAATGCAGTGGTCAGATTTCCCAGAAGCCCCGGTGATAAATGGATGTGATGTGTGCTGATGTGGTTTGATAGGCTGGAAGTGAACGCAGCTGCAGATTTAAACCATCAGCAGAGCAGAGCTGTGGTCAGCTGAGAGGCCTTCACTTAACCACAGGCATCAGATTACTGCAGCTGGAAACTGCTGAACTCCACTGAGAGTCTCCACCAGCCTGAGCTCAGACACAAATCTACACGTTCTGGATTCCTGATGAAGCAGCAGTCGCACACTGTGTCTCAAACTGTAGCAACAGAGCAGTGTTTATGTGTTCATTACAGAAGGTATTTTTAGTTACCATAGTAACTGAAGCAGTTCCTGATGTTTTACATGTAACAGCAGCTGAATAGAATCGTATGTGTTTGTTGTACCTGAAGTAGTTTTAAACCTTAACCCTAACCCTAACCCACCAGGGGTACATCCCAAGTCCCTTAAAATTACTGTTAGCCACCTTACCTAACTGTTTAGTTCCTCCCACTTAGGAAAACATTTAAGGAGTCAGGAGTTAGGAGTGAAGAGCGAGGATTGCTGATAAGAGACATGAGACAGCCTTACTCTGAAGCGTCACGTAAAGAAACGTCCTTTTCTGATGACGGCGGCACAGCTGGATCTGCTGCATAACGGAGCCAGCGTTTGGCGTACATCCCAAGTCACATTATATTCACTGATCAAAGCTGTAAACCCCCCACCACCCCCCCCCCCCCATGACTCTGGTCACACACTTTTGCATGTATTACCATTGTTAGTGAGTCATTTGCCAAAGTTTGTAGCAATTACAGAACGTTCTGTAGCCCTGCCACTGTCACTGTGATGAGCATCATTATTATTATCACTATTATTAAATCCACTCACCATCATTCAACAAGTCAGCTGCTGAGTGAATAAGACATATCAAACCTGTCAGTCTGCCTCAATCAATCAATTTTATTTATAAAGCCCAATATCACAAATCACAATTTGCCTCACAGGGCTTTACAGCATACGACATCCCTCTGTCCTTATGACCCTCACAGCTGATCAAAAAAAACTCCCCAAAAAACCCTTTAACGGGGAAAAAAAATGGTAGAAACCTCAGGAAGAGCAACTGAGGAGGGATCCCTCTTCCAGGACGGACAGACGTGCAATAGATGTCGTACAGAACAGATCAACATAATAAATTAACAGTAAACCATATGACACAATGAGACAGAGAGAGAGAGAGAGAGACAGAGAGAGAGAGATGCAGGACAGACGGTAATGACAGTAGCTTACAACAACATTAATGAAAGTAATAATAATTAATATTAATATTACCTACAGGCTATTAAACATTATTCCACTCACATGACATGCAGGACAATTAATGATGGGCAAATGTGTGTGTGTGTGTGTGTGTGTGTGTGTGGTTCTGGACATGAGCAGCTGCACATTTAACAGCCACGCATCACAGACAGTCCGCTGAACAACGCAACAGGTTGTGAATGAAATAAACTTAATTACAACATGACAGTCTTGCAGAAAATATCATCAACGTTACTCTTTGTAGTCACGTAGGCATGTGAATTACAGCGTGTCATTGCAAAGAATGCATGTAACGGGTACACTTGAGCTGTTTCTCCGCCATCTCGTTCAAATGAGCCAGATAAAGGGGGCGGGTATTTATACGTCATGGCCTCAAGCTGAAAAGACTTCCTGTTAGGAACCTCTCGTGTTACCTTACTCATCGCACCTAACAGATCCCTCCTAACACCTAAAGCTAACTCCTTAATGGCAGGAATAAGAGACATGAGAAGGCCTTAAAGATGGCGGAACTCGAACAACTTCCGGTTCAAGTAAGGAGTTAGGAGTTAGCAGTATAAAATAAGAGACTTGGAACGTACCCCAGGTTGTGATGTCAGTGAGGGGTGGAGCCTCTGAATCAGCTGTTGGTGTTCACACATGCTCAGTGTGTTGTCTCTATGATCTCTGACCCTCAGCGTGGTGCCGTTACTGAAGGAGTCCATCGGGATTCTGATGCAGAGAACGCCTCCGTCACTGGACCACGCCCTCCCAGAGTGCTACCAGAGAGTGAGTACAGGCCACGCCCAGCAAGTTAAACCACACCCACAAGCCACCCAGAGCACCTGGTCTGCTTTCATTGTACAGCAGGGACGCATCTAATTCCTGGTTTATTGTGTTGTGTTCAGGTGCAGCAGCTACAGGGCGTCTACAACCTGCAGGAGCCTCATTTCTGGACTCTGTGTACGGACGTTTACATCGGAACGCTGAAGCTGCTGGTTGCCCCCGACGCCGACACCCGCTGGATCCTCAGCCAGACGCACCACATCTTCACACAGGTACCTGAATGCACCACATCTTCACACAGGTACCTGAATGCACTACATAATTAGACAGGTACCTGAACACACCACATCTTCACACAGGTATCTGAATGCACTACATAATTAGACAGGTACCTGAACTCACCACATCTTCACGCAGGTACCTGAACGCACCACATCTTCACTCAGGTACCCTGAATGCACCACATCTTCACTTAGTTACCTGAATGAACCACATCTTCACTCAGGTACCCTGAACACAGCACATTTTCACTCAGGTACCCTGAACGCAGCACATCTTCACACAGGTACCCTGAACGCAGCACATCTTCACACTGGTACCTGAACATGATGGTGGTGGTTTTATTGACCTGCGTTCACTCTGCAGTGTTATTATTAGTATTTGTGGTATTTGTAGTTTTAAGTTTTAACTGTGTTGACTGTGTGCGCAGGCTGGAGTTCGACAGCTGTATGTTCAGATCGACACGGCCGCCATGTAGAAGCTCCTGCTCCTCTGAACACCTGGGACCAACCTCTGACCCCGCCCCCTCCCACAGTCACTGGACAGACTGAGACCAGCGGGGGGAGGGGAACTAGACTGATCTCCCATGATGCTCCAGCCCAACTCAAACAACCCCCCCCCTTTTTTAATCGTACCTGTCCGTGTCGACGGGCACCGTGATGACCCCCCCTTCCGCACTTTGTAGACTGGAGCAAAGCATTCTGGGTAAGTGCCTTCATCATGAATCAGAGACAATCTGAGAGCCCGTTTCCTGTCCGGACGGCCCCCCCGCCCAACCCCTCTCTGACATCACTGCTGGGACCAGACTGCTGCCAGCTGATTGGTCTGTGAGTGTGTGATGTCACTCTGTGTTCTTAACGTGCCAATCCATGTGACCAGTCGGTGGGTTTCAGTCTTTTTCAACTGTAATAAATAATTCTGTTTCTCTGATTATTGATCTGAATCTTTATTGATGACATCACAGAGTACAAACAGATGACCTCATTAATTAATGACACAATAAAAAGACTGAATCTCATTTGTTTTTAACAGTTCAGAGGAGGATTATGGGTCATTCATGTTTTTATATTATTTTGATGATCAATAAACGTCCTCTGTATGTGTGTGAGAGCTTGTATTGCTGTCTTTGTGAGGACCACAGCTGTAAACCATCACAGTGAGGACATTTCTCCATTGTGGGGACATCCTGGCCTCTCCTCTCTCACTCGTATTTGTCTGAAGGTTCAGACTTTTTCTCAAAGGTCAGATTAAAATCAGGTCAAGTTTTGAGTTAGGATCCTTGTAATACACCATGTCAATGACGGTCCCCACAAGAACAGTAAGACGAGCGTGTGTGTGTGTTAGGAGCAGAAGGTGGAGCTGTCGATCATGTGCAGGTGTTGCAGTGCGTTTGATTCTTCGTTCACTCGCAGCATGTCCACCTCCAGCGGGTGGAGGTGACCGGTGACGACCAGCGAATGGAGGGGACCGCCGAGGTCACACGACACCAGCTGACGTAATGTCGCTGCGCGGATGGTCTGGTCATTGGCGCCAAGTCGGGCCACGCCCACACACACCGTGTCTTCCGTCATACCTGGGGGAACAATATTACAAAGTAACATCCGTTTGCACAAGGTCATATTTCATCTTACAGTCATTAACATTTACCAACTAACACGTTAGCTTGCTAACAGCTTATAACAGTGAGTTAAATACAGCAGAGTAACCCTGGGTAGCACAGGGTCATATTTTAGTTTACTCACAGTCATTAGCATTAACTAACATGTTAGCATGCTAATATAAGTTAATGAGCAGATTGACAGAAATTAACAATGATGTAATGTTGGAGTCACTTCAGTGCTGAGCTGTTAGCTTTCTGTGCTAACAGGATGATAACACATCAGCTGCTTAGCCAAAATGATTTTTTTTTTTATTAGCGTATCAACGTAATCAATTTTATTTATGACGTTAATGTTTTTCCTCAAAATATGTGTTGATGAGTTCAACGTTTGAATATTTTTTGTACATTTTTCTACTTTTTTCTTAATATATTTGACTTTTTTGATGATTCACAATTTTATGATTTTTCACTTTTAGTTTTTGTTGAACTTTAATGATGATTTTACTCGTACACTTAACGACCTCATCCTATAAAATAGCTTCAAAAAATGAAAATAACTATTGTAATTTTTTTTCTTAAAATATTATCACTTTTTTATTTACAAATTATTTGGGCCTTTTTTTTGCTCAAACCTACGATACCTTAAAGTATAACACATTTCCTTGCATATTGTTTTTTTTTCCAACAGTTGCTCTTTATCTTTAGCTCAGTTATGGTTGTGTGTGTATGAGTGACTCTTGAGCCAATCAGATGGCAGATTACGAGCTGACACTCACCTAGCTCCTCCCCTTCCTCCTCCCTCCTCCTCTGTATGATCTGGATCAGCTGATCTGCAGCCTGACTGACCGTCATGAAGCGAGGAGGCTCATAGATCTTCTTCCCCCTGGAATCAATCAATCTTATCAATCAATCAATCACCTGATGACAATGTTTGGACTTGTTAAAGATAAAGTGAAGCATTAAGGTTAGTGAGCGCCTGTCAGACTGAACTCAGGGCTGAGACACTGTGATGTGGGGACAAACATGGTTGAAAATCAGCAGCTCCTGCAACATCAACCTGCCGCCGACACACATGCTCACTAAGGTCCACCTCACACGCTTAGAAAATACCAGCTGGATGACATCATCATGACATCATCAGCCTGAGAAGCTGAAACCACAGAGAGGATGAGCTGGGTCTCACCTCATCATGTTCTCGACGCTCTGCTCTTTGACTTTAATATCTGTCAATAAAGAAACAATAAACACAATAATCACACAATAAACACACACACACTACATTCAGTTTGTTTCTTTTAGTTTAACTACATTTAATATTGTATGAGGAGCTGGTTTTGACAGGCTGCTGAAGACACCTCAGAGGACGGGTTTCACCTCCATCACTGTTCAGAGTCAAACAACATCATGCTGCATCATGTCACTTGTAATAAAAGATGAAGTGAAATAAAATGTAATAAAAAACATTTTGAAAATCAGTGAATCATCTCTGATGTTTCTACTTTTTCTTTCTGAACCAAACATGAAACACCCTGTCAAGGCAACTTTCAACTTTATGAACTGTTACATAGCGACATGCTACACTACGTTTTTTACGATTTTTGACGACATGTATACTATGACGTTTTTTCATGATTTTTGACGACATGCTACACTGACGTTCTTTCACGATTTTTGACGACATGTATACTATGATGTTTTATCATGATTTTTGATAACATGCTACACTACAACGTTCTTTCATGATTTTTGACGACATGCTACACTGACGTTTTTTCACGATTTTTGACGACATGTATACTATGACGTTTTTTCACAATTTTTGACGACGTATAATATGACGTTTTTTCATGATTTTTGACGACATGCTACACTATGACGTTTTTTCACGGTTTTGGAAGACATGCTATACTATGATGTTTTTTCACGGTTTTGGACGACATGCTACACTGACGTTTTTTCACGGTTTTGGACGACATGCTATACTATGACTTTTTTCATGATTTTTGACGACATGCTATACTACGACGTTCTTTCACGATTTTTGACGACATGCTACACTATGACGTTTTTTCACGGTTTTGGACGACATGCTATACTATGACGTTTTTTCATGATTTTTGACGACATGCTACACTACGACATTCTTTCACGATTTTTGACGACATGCTACACAACGACGTTTTTTCACGGTTTTGGACGACATGGCATACTATGACGTTTTTTCACGGTTTTGGACGACATGCTATACTATGACGTTTTTTCATGATTTTTGACGACATGCTACACTACGACATTCTTTCACGATTTTTGACGACATGCTACACTATGACGTTTTTTCACGGTTTTTGACGACATTTTATACTATGACGTTTTTTCACGGTTTTGGACGACATGCTATACTATGACGTTTTTTCATGATTTTTGATGACATGCTACACTACGACATTCTTTCACGATTTTTGACGACATGCTATACTATGACGTTCTTTCACGGTTTTTGACGACATTTTATACTATGACGTTTTTTCACGGTTTTGGACGACATGCTATACTATGACGTTTTTTCATGATTTTTGATGACATGCTACACTACGACATTCTTTCACGATTTTTGACGACATGCTATACTATGACGTTCTTTCACGATTTTTGACGACATGCTACACTATGACGTTTTTTCACGGTTTTGGACGACATGCTACACTATGACGTTTTTTCACGATTTTGGACGACATGCTATACTATAACGTTTTTTTCATGGTTTTGGACGACATGCTATACTGATGTTTTTTTCATGGTTTTTGACGACATGCTATACTATGACGTTTTTTCATGATTTTTGACGACATGCTATACTATGAATCACTTTTTTTCGTGATTTTTGACGACATGCTATACTATGAATCACTTTTTTTCACGATTTTTGACGACATGCTATACTATGACGTTTTTTCATGATTTTTGACGACATGCTACACTATGAATCACTTTTTTTCACGATTTTTGACGACATGCTATACTATAATTTTTTTCATGGTTTTGGACGACATGCTATACTATAACGTTTTTTTCATGGTTTTGGACGACATGCTATACTGATGTTTTTTTCATGGTTTTTGACGACATGCTATACTATGACGTTTTTTCATGATTTTTGACGACATGCTATACTATGAATCACTTTTTTTCGTGATTTTTGACGACATGCTATACTATGAATCACTTTTTTTCACGATTTTTGACGACATGCTATACTATGACGTTTTTTCATGATTTTTGACGACATGCTACACTATGAATCACTTTTTTTCACGATTTTTGACGACATGCTATACTATAATTTTTTTCATGGTTTTGGACGACATGCTATACTATAACGTTTTTTCATGATTTTTGATGACATGCTACACTATGAATCACTTTTTTTCGTGATTTTTGAGGACATGCTATACTATGAATCACTTTTTTTCACGATTTTTGACGACATGCTATACTATGACTTTTTCACGGTTTGTGATGACATGCTATACTATAATTTTTTTCATGATATTGAACGACATGCTATACTATGACGTTTTTTTCATGTTTTTTTGACGACATGCTATACTATGACGTTTTTTTCATGGTTTTTGACGACATGCTACACTATGACGTTCTTTCACGATTTTTGACGACATGCTATACTGACTTTTTTTCACGGTTTTTGACGACATGGCCTACTATGACTTTTTTCCACGGTTTTTGACGACATGCTATACTATGAATCACTTTTTTTCACGATTTTTGACGACATGCTATACTATGACTTTTTTTTCACGGTTTTTGACGACATGCTATACTATGACGTTTTTTCACGATTTTTGATGACATGCTATACTATGAATCACTTTTTTTCATGATTTTTGACGACATGCTATACTATAATTTTTTTCATGGTTTTGGATGACATGCTATACTATAATTTTTTTCACGTTTTTTGACGACATGCTATACTATGACGTTTTTTCACGTTTTTTGACGAGATGCTATACTATGACGTTTTTTCACGATTTTTGATGACATGCTATACTATAAATCACTTTTTTTCATGATTTTTGACGACATGCTATACTATGACGTTTTTTCACGTTTTTTGACAACATGCTATACTATGATGTTTTTTCACGATTTTTGATGACATGCTATACTATGAATCACTTTTTTTCATGGTTTTTGACGACATGCTATACTATGACTTTTTTCATGGTTTTTGACGACATGCTATACTATGACGTTTTTTCACGATTTTTAATGACATGCTATACTATGAATCACTTTTTTTCATGATTTT